AAAAAAAAAAAAAAGAGGTAATGCCTTAGGAGAATTTCTTGAACAGATAATACAACCTATAAAAATATCTAGTCATAGAAACCAAGGTGTAATTATGAATGGCTTATTTCTCTAGATTACAACATTTATCACAAATTGCATTTTAAAGACTGCTCCTACTGGCAGTGCATTAAAATACTGCTTTCCCTCAGTTCTGCAAAGTAAAAAATATATATTGCATTTTAATCATAGCAAAGTGCCAAGAGACTGGGAATTTATCTCAGGCAGTAAATTTTAAGACAGGCTGCCCACTTTTGCTGAGACCCAGCAGTCTTTCATACCTTGGGCACATAATCACTATGTAGGTCCCACTGTGCCCAGTACTGCTGACACTGAAGAACAAGTCAGGTCCCTGTTCTTTGGCCTCCCTCTCATATTCTGCCTGACTGACAAACTCCAGGGAGGGTAGGGTTCCAGTTTAGCACACAGAAGCAGCCAGATGAGGAGACTAGGGAGCAGCAACACCAGGAATTCAGGGCCTTTATCATTCCTGCAGAGGGAAGAAGAAAAGAAAAGGTTTCCAGAAGGCATTTAGAAGGTGTGAGCCTCCCAAATGTGTAAGGCTTCATCCACCTGTAGGTCAAAATCCAAAAAGAGGGGCTGGCGGGTGTGACACAGGCTCCCTGTACCTGCTGTTTGCTTTCCCCAGGATTCCCAGAGTCTTCAGGAATACTTGGGAGAGAGAAACTTGAAGACACATCTTTCTGGTTCTGGAACTTAAGGTTATCTTAAGTGGACTGAGCTTATAGGTCTCTCAGCCCCTCCCCAAGCCGCTGTCCAGGCCTCTGAGCCTGGGTTTTTGCCATCTGGGGCCTGCAGCTCTCCTGGTCATTATGGGGGCCCCTCTATGCTTGTCCTGCTTGACCCAGGAAGACGTTTCTGGATCTGAACTTTTCATCTTTTTTTTTTTTTTTTTTTTTTTTTGAACCTTTCCTCTTGCAGCAACCTGCATAACCCTTTCTTCATTAGCTGTGTTGGCAGGGGCTGGCGAGATCTGGCTTCCTGACCCAGAGTTTTGCCCCCGCCTGAACCTGAACATCACCATTTGGCCCAGTCCCGCTCTACTGGATCTACCCACCTACTTACCCTGTTTGTATGAGATTAGATACAAATTCACAATTAGTCTATGAGCTCAGAGGCTCCCTATAATAAATCTGTGCTTCCATTTCTGCGTCCAAAGATTTCTCCTGCTCCCAGAACCCCTTCAAAGCATAAGAACTGATTTAGTCTAAATTTGATGGACACTTTGCAGTTTAAATCTACTTTCAATGGAGGCCCCCATCGTCTCAATAAAATGTAATTTTCTGGAACGACATATGCCAGGGGCCTGATTTAAGCCAGACATTAAGCCAGGTCCTTAGTGCAGATGGATAAGGAAAGTATCCACACTGTGAGTAAATGATTATAATGTAAATATGATGAGGTGAAACAGCTGAGACGTAAACAAGATTGTCCATGGGGATAAAAGAAAGCTGGTATTTGTTGAGCAATGTCTGTGGGCCAAGTAGTGAGTCTTGAATTTCTCTCTTAATTCTCATAGCAATAGTAGTGAAGCATCTGTTATTGTGTCCCTGTTTGTCAGATAAGAAATTGAGACACAGATTGTTCAGGTAATTTGCCGAAAGTTGTAGAGCTAGTGATGCTTGAGTCAGATTAACATTCTGTAGCAGAAAGCATGATGCAATGTTAAATTTTTCTGAACGCCTCAAGGAAGGCTTGCCATTGGAAGTGATATTTGAACTAGATCTTGAAAGAAAATTGCCATACTGAAACTGATTGTCCCTTAGCTTAGGTGAGATATGATATGTGGTCAAAAGGGGAGGCCTCAGGCTACAAGAAATTCTGGGTATAATGGTACAGAGACTTGAGAGCCAGAACAGCTTAGAAATGGATGGGGCTGGGGAGATTGCTCAGCAGTCTAAGTGTCTGCCTGGCAAGCACAAGGACAAGGGTTCAGTCCCTAATACTGCAGGCTGTGATGGCCCTAGAACCCCAGGCACACTGTCCAAGCCATGTAGCGGGATAAATACACAAATAAATAAGAAAAGGATAGGTAAAGTGCTCATGGTGGCAATCCTCCCTCACCATCTCCACTCCCATTTTCAATCATCAGTAGACCTTCACTGAGATTTGTGTCCCCTGGTTTTACCAGTTCTGTCCTTCATCATTCTGTGCACTCTTGGCACTGTGCATGTGTTTCACTATGTGGGCCAGTTGTACGAATTCAGCTGGACCCCTCAGTGGCCGTCTTCAGCAGTAATGGCCAAGATTGCTTCAGAACAATCTTACTTGGTTTTTCTTGCCTAGTTTTCCAACAAATGATAAACAGACAAAGCTATTCGAGTGCTCTGTGGAGCTTTACAACTGGACCATGGCTCCAGGAATGTGACTTTTTCATATTAGCTTAAGATAAACTGGGTATACTTCAGCTAGGATGAAGCTCCTTTTGTTCTAACCCATATAGCTGGGGGCTTAGCTCAGTGGCACAGTGCTTGCTTGGCAGGTATGAGGTCCTCAGATCAATTCCCTGTACCCTCCCCCAAAATTGAGTTGGGTGTTCTAGCCCAGATACACGCCTGTCCTGCAGACTGAAATTGCAGGGATCCAGCTGGTATTGCTGTAGGCCAGGCTCCCATTTCCATCAGTTTGTCTCCCCAGTACTTTGCATTCTGTACTATCTACACCTGTGTGCCCCTCCTGTTTTAGTCTCATAGCACCTGGGTCAAGTCTCATATACTAGGACATGAGTCTCATGAAACACCACCAGTGCAAGGTATTTCCATTCACTGACTCCTTGCTCTGATGTTATTCATCTGTCATTCTTCCAGCCAAACACTTCCATGGAAATGCCCTTGAACCTACTCACAACCTCATATCCATACTAGAAATCTTGAGTACCCCCACCTTGCTTCCTAAGCACACCCCCAGTCTGTCCAGATCTCACTCTCTTCCTCTCAGAACATTTGACAGACAGCCCCAGTTCCAGTACTTCCCCCATCACCACTGTCACCTGCTTGTACTGGGCATCCTCATCTCTCGCCCAGATTATTGCAGCAGCCTGACCCTTCTTCTGGAACCAGGCCTCCTGACTCCCCTGAACTTTGATCTGTCCCCCGACATACCAGTAGTTTCCATGGCTCCTTTCACCTGGTGCCTAGCAGATCTTTCTGACCTTACTGCATAGCACGAGATTTGGAGCATGGCTGAACAGAAAAGGCTTTTGCCTCTGAGCCTGGGCTCTGCTCACTGTTTTAGGACAGGGGTCCTGGTCCTTTACTTCTAGGAACCTGATACTCTTCAGCAATGGGCTGGAGGCCCATTGTTCTCTGCTTTGGGGGCTTCTGGTAGGGAGCACACCCCCCCCTTCTTATATTTTGTGCTGGCTGCACCAGCAGCACCTCCAATGTAGGTCCAGACTCACCTGAGTTGCTGAAATTGCTGGGGTTACAGGAACAATAGAAGTGATTATAGTTCTTCTCGTCTTTGGGAATCTTCAAAGATAACGTCAGTGTATTTATTAGTTTTATGGTGACCTTTTTATACACCTCGTATCCTGGAATTAACACTTTCTCTTCCTGTAGATATATAGAAAATGTTTTGATGTAAACACCCTAACAGGTATTGATTTTAAACAGTGTTCCACCTTCCTTCTGAAAACCTAGAGCTGCTTTTAAACTCAAAGATGATGATGTAAATTGCCCAAACTGTATTCTACCCTCCACACTATAATAAGATTTGATACGAGTGCTCTATAAACTCGTGACAATTCTGTTCCCTGAGAAGCTGAAGAGGTCTTGTCAAATAATAATGGAAGGCCTTGTACTTGAAGTGATCTGAATTTTGACAAAATTCTCGTGCAGCTCTGTTAAAATCTTCTGAAACATCCCCGTGTAGACCACTAGAGCTGTGCCGTGGAAACCATTTAAGTTTTCTGGAGAGTTTATTTTGTTCTTTATTAGCTCCCAATGTGTCTCTGCTCTTGCCCGCTCAAACTTGAATTGCTTATTTATGTTCAGTCCTTCTTCTAAGAGCTGGGGAGCTTTCCTCTCCATACCTTGGATACAGCCCTCGTAGTGACCATCAAATATGCCATAAGCCGTGTCCAGGTTGCTCTGTGTCCAATCTGTTCCTTGTGGAGAAGGAAGAGCCCTTTGACTCGTTTACAGGGAAACCAGCCTATGCTGGATGCTGCCAGAGCCGTCAGCACTGGTCTCTTGCTTGGCTAGAGATTTTACATGTTCCGTTCACAGGGCTCATGAACACAATCACATTATACTCTGAGTACCATAAAAAGGAAACACTCAGCGTTGGACTATTTTGTTCGCTGGCGCTGTTCTTAAAATTGTTTTTCAGATTCATGACTCCTGACTGGCTCTAGCCACAGACTCAACCCTGGGAACTGTATTGTCTCGAAGGTATGACGGAAAAGAAAAGGAAGATCAGCAAGATGTGGATTGAGAAAGTGTTAGGTATCATCACCTGCCGTGTGGCCTCCAATTTAGCATGAAAATGTGAATTGCTGTCTCGGAGTGATGTCCTGTTCAAGTTCACAAATAACTGCAGCTGAACATAAGGTAATACAGACGAGACGCGATCATCAGTTTCGTTGTGTATTGCTGCACCCTTGCTGTGTTCACCAATCTTTATTTCCAATCCAGAAGTCCAGGCTATTTGTACTGCTCTGAATAAGTAATCAGGATTCCTTGTGAACAGCTCCACCTGGAGCCTGCATAGGGACAAGGTGGCTGACATGTGGCCCCCATTAGCGAGGTAGTATTGAGACCATCAATCCTCATAACAGGCAGTGCTACATGCCATGTAGATTGCCAGTGAGAGAAGCAGAATAAATTTTAAATTTTTTTAAAATTTTATTTATTTATTTGAAATCTTGGGGGGCTGGGGCTGGCTGGCATGTGGTGCTGGGGGATTGAACCGCGGTCCCTGATGCCTTGCTAAGCTAGTTCCAAGTAGGTGCTTTAGACCACTGAGCCATCTCACCAGCCCCATAAATTTTAGCAGACCTTTCATAGGCTTTAACATTTCATTCCCTCTTAGAGAAATATTGTGAGTTCTTTCACAGATACTAAAAAAATTGCTTCTCAAAGTTTTGTTAACCTGGGGCTCCCACTCAGAATATTTCTGACTGTCTTTTTGATATCAGTTTTCACAAGGATCAGGGCTTTAGTTTTTCTTCCAAAGACTCACATGCCACAGGCTTGGTCCTCAGCGGTGGCAGTGCTGAGGCAGTGGAACCCTTAAGAGGTGAGGCCTAGGAGGTGGTAATTAGGTCCTTGAGGAGGACACGCTCGGAAGAGATTTTGCAGTTCTTGTGGGGCCCTCGTTAGTTCCCGCAAGAGCAATTTGTTGTCAAGAAGAGCAGGCCTGACGCCTAAATCTTCCTGGCTTCTTCTTTCATTACATGACACTTTCTGCTCTCAGCATGTGGCTTCTCTGTCAGGTCACAATGCAGCCAGGGAACCTTTCACCAGCTGCTGGTGCCATATTTGGCCTTTCCATCCACTGGTATTGTGAGTAAACATCTTTTCTTTATGAAGCACTCAGACTCAGGTATTTTGTTATAATAATAGAAAACAGCCTAATAAATCAGCTTGCCTCATTACTTATTGTATCTAATGAAAGTTTATTTACCTATCATACATTTTTTCACTTTTTTATGGTTATGAAGATTAATGAGTTTTATGTTTTTTTTTTATTTTATTTTTTGGGGGTACTGGGGATTGAACTCAGGACCTTGTGCTTGCCAGGCAAGTACTTATTCTACTGAACTACCTCCCCAGCCCCTAATGGATTTTATTTTGACAGATTTACACATGCACATAACATGCTTTGATTATATCCCCCCCATTTCCCTTACTCTACCCTTCCTCCTAGTCTCACATTTTCAGGGGATAGGGGTTCAATTTGCATATTTTGCTCATATCTATCCCACCTATTACTCTCCATTTCTCCCCACTTTAAACTTCTTTTTGAGGAGTAGATATATGAAATGCATATTTAGCAAAGTAAGGAAAAGAATGAGGTGTGACAGTCACCCCTTGGGGTGGTGCTACCTTTTTCCTTCCCATTTGCTGCTCTTGACAAATTCTGACAACTCTCTTCTTCAGCCCACCTGGTAATTTCGCACATAATTTTGGCTTAGGCCTCCTAAGCTAATGCTCTACCAAGACCTTGAGAAGGGCAGGGAGGGGCCGTGAAGCATGACCAACTGCTCATGGTGGGACCCTTTCCTCTGACTCCTGGCTCCTCCTTACCTTAGGTTCTCATTCCCTGTGCCATTGAAGGATTCTAGAAAAGAAAGACTCCAACAGAGACGGTCCCACCCTGTTTATTCTAAATAACCAAAGAATTATTCACTGTCATAAAGTAATTATGATCAACTCTTTAAAAGTTGATCTCGGAGTCCTCTTTATTTGCACACAATAATCACTCTCAATAATATAAAAAAGACTTGCTTCAACATAATGTTACTTGAATGAAAATATATGAATTGTTTGTAGAAAAAAAAAAGATTATACTGGAGAGATTAGTGTTTACTTTGTTTATAGAAGGCAGAACACTTGAATAATTGCATCTCAGAAAGAGGAATGAAAGGCAGAAATGATAAGAACGGGGATGGGGAGGTAGCTCAATGGAATGTGTGCTTGCCTAGCAAGCACAAGGTACTGAGTTTGGTCCCTGGTACCACACCCCCCCCCAAAAAAAAAATCATAAACCAAGAAATGACAAGAATCTTAGATATTGAGGAGATATTCAAGTTGGTGTTAAATTGTATGATCTCTTATAATAAGTATTGGAAGCCATCTTCCTTTTATAGGATATCCTGCATCCAAAAAGATCATATAGGGAGTTTTATTTTTAGTTACATATTGCAATGAATTGAAATAATGTTCCAAGATCTTAGCATATCCAGGTTAAGATCCAATAGTAGTCTATTAGGATGGCATGCTCAAAACAAGTAGTTTCTTAACTTTAATTTAATGTCATAGAGCCAGTGCTGGTTCTAGAGGAACCAAAAATTTTGGAAGTTAAATTTGAACCATCCTATTTTCTTCAATTAAATAATAATAGTAATATTTTATGCATACTAGTTTTTAAATTTTGTTGTGAAATTGAAGCCTTTTGTATTAAATGCTATTAAACCTCAAAAAGTGATTAAAGTGAAATTGGAACTAGAAACATCACTTCTCCTTAGTTATGTAATTTTATATTTTTCTTTGTGATGATGAATGTTTTTATTCTGAAATGGGCATACTGTGTAGCCCAGGTTGGCCTTGAACTTGTGATTTTCTTGCTTCTGTCCCTCCAGTGCTGGGATTACAGGTGCAGCACCATATATGGATAACTGTATTTTTTATAGAATGCAAATGTGAGAATTTTAAGCAAGACTTATTTTGATTCTATGTAAAAATTTAGATATCGTCACTGATATGAAACATCACAAGAGTAATTAATATAAACATGGTGTAATGGCTTGGCTCTGCTTCTAATTATTTTTTAAATTATTTATTTATTTATTTGGTACAGGGTCTCACAATGCAGCACCTCTTGTCTCAGCCTCCCCAGTGCTGGGATTACAGACGTGTGCCACCATGTTCAATTTCGGGGCCAGCCTGGTGTGCCAGGGTTCCAGGCTGATATACCATGTGTTACCAGGGATCAAAGTCGGTTCCTTGTGCTTACCAGGAAAGCGCGGAGACTGCTGAGCTATTTCCCCAGCCCCATTCAAAGTATTTGAATACAATATAAGTGGATGATATCTGACACATGTTCCCAACAATTCTGTGTGTTTGAATGCACCCGTGTGTGTGTGTGTGTGTGTGTGCGTGCACACACTAAAGGATCAAGCCTAGAGCCTCATGCATGGTAGGCAAGCACTCTACGACTGAGCTACATCCTCAGCCCATGACTATTATTTTGATTCATCATCTTATAATTTGATTGTACTTTTCTAATATTCTTAATTGACTCATGAGATTCTTACCATAATTGTATACATTAAGATAATAATATTTATTTTTACCCAATCCCTATATGCAGTAAGTTATTAAAATTATTTTAAGTCATAATATGTTCCTGCAGGAGGATTTTTACTAGCTATGAGTATAAACACAAGAGAATTCTTTGCTGTGACATTCTACCTATCTGGAGGTCACTTAGCTGCTTCTCCGCTTGCAGTGGGTCTCCAAGATACAGTGCATCCAACATCTCTAGGAAACTTAGGACCAGCAGATATTTCTGGATCCTGGTCTCAGATTATGGATTCAGTATTTTTAATGAGCTTCCTGAGTGATTCTGCTGCAGTCTGCATTTTTGGTGTTGGAGATTGAACTTAGAATCTCCCATATGCCAAGGCAGGCTTCCTTCCACAGAACTACACCCCAACCCTAGCTTCTTGAGATGGTGCATGTGTTTATGGGCTAGCTCTGATTCTCTCTCTAGTCTCAAATTTCATTAACGCTTATTTTACAACTTAGGCTTCAAAATTGTCTTGAGAATGGCAAGTCTGAAGTGCCCGTGAGAAATCCAGATGAAGATGCCATCAGAAAAGTGCCCAGATAGGGTTCTGGAATTCAATAGATGGCTGAAGGCATAAATCTGAGTGTCATGAACCTGGGATTAGTGAATTGACTCCAAGAGAGTGGAAAGAAAGATTCAGAAAGTGAGGTGAAATTTTTCATTATTATTAACATTATCCTTATTTTCCTGGGACAATCTTTGTTGTAAGTTTAAGCCTAAAAAACATGGGAAATGATGGCTTCTAAAGAAATGATCTCTGAATTGAGTCTTTGTAGACATATTCTTATGGACAGTTAACATATTGATCCAAAGTTTGAATTTTTTAAAGTTATTTCCCAACATGTTTGGGTATTATGTGCCTGCTCCTCGTCTAAGCCTTCAGTGGAGGCCAGCAGTTCGAGAGCTAATGACTTCCTTTCCCACTGCCCAGGCACCTCTGACTGTGAACTCAACAGACAGGATCTTGGACTAAAGGGCAAGTTAGTATTCACGGAGACACAAGAGATTAAAATTATATGTACATCTCCAGCCTTCCATTTTGAATATAAATTTAACTCCCTCATACTGGAAACGTAGCTCAATTACCCACAACTCGGTTTTCAGCTCTACATTTTTCTTTTCTTGGTTCTTTAATGTAGATAATCACCTATTCCAACACCCGGTAGCCACTTCCTTACGGAACAGCTGGATATAACCCACTGGATGGGCCCCACAGACCCTCACATCCCCCATAGGCTGGCAGGTATGCCACCTTATCACCTTCTAGTCAAACCATAACCTCCTGGAACTGGGTGCTTGCTCACCTTAAACAACTCAAATTCCCCTCAAAAACTTTTGTGGATAATTATCTGGACCCCAACAAAGGCATTGACCTGGGTTTTTTTCTCATTCCTCTGTCTCTCTCCCTGCACTTTGAGGCCTCCATGTGTGGCTACTAGATATGTTGTGTACTACCCAGGACATTTCTCTTTTGTGTCTTTCCTGATCATTGAAAGAACTCACTTTCCATTTTAAAAATCCTAAATGAAAACGAAGGAGAGGCTAGAAGTTGATGTATACCTAGAGTTGGGAAGGAAATGGGGAAATTAACGACATTCTTATTCTGGCCTATGGGGACCTTGTCAGACGCAAGTATCAGCAGTGCTGCTCAGAGACTTGAGCAATAAATTGTATGGTCTTGGATTAAGTTTTTAAGTCTTTAGATAGATAGATTGGATGTTTGTCCTTCAAGAGTTTTTCTCTTTTCCAGATATGATCCCATCTCCACACTGGAATATTCCTTGCCCAGAACTTCCATTGTATTGACACATAACCTCCACTACGACAGTCATCTAATCCACACATTTTCTCCCAGTGCCATTCTACCACCAGTCTGTCCTCAGAAGACATTCTTAATTCCCTCACCCTCAGATGCCCTTCCCCTTCAGAGTGGCCAGGTACCTGATCTCCAGGAGATCCTTTGTGATTTCATCCATGTTCCCCCTCAGCAATGTCTCAAGAGGCAATTCTATGGCCCTTTTATTGTGGGAAAAATGATTTCAGTTTCAAATTGAATTTGAAAGTAAAGCTGGATTATTTATGAGTCCATTTCCTAGTATTTTGCTATTGTGCTTTGTTATTGTACTTGGCTCTTATGTCAAGAAGAGTTAAGACATTTATGTTCCCTCCCACAGGGTTGATGATAGTGGTGCTGGTGCTAGTGGTGGTGGTGTGTAGTCAAGTTTATTGTGCAAAACTCAGCAGGCAGTGGTCAATCCTTGTCTCATATGTTTACTTTTAAGGTTATATGTGCCATTTGAGGGGGTTAGTTCAAGACACAGCTTGGAGAGGTGAAGGCTCTTAGGGATCACTTTTGTACCTTCAGCCATTTCTTAGTATGATTCCAACACTTAGCTACAGTGTGTCCCTAAACCAACGAAATGTAAGGCAAACTATTAATTTTGTACATCATTTCCTATGGGAATTACCAGCTTCTCTTAATTCTGGATTGTTGTAATGAATCAGTTGGCTTCCTGAGTGACTAGGCCAAGCCATTGGGTAACTTTTTAGGTGAAAAACACCCCAGGATACAAGAAATCTAAAAATCCATCATTCTGCCATTTGTAGTAAAACTAGGCTCCACCAAAATAATATTTGGCAACATTTTTGTGCCTAAATTTTGTAAAAGCTTGCACAGAAATAGAGCTTGGGTGAGTGCAAGGGAGTGATGCACTCACATACAGAATCTGCCAAAAAAAAAAAAAATGCATACATGCCTCAGGAAAAGAAAATGTTGTATAAATATTTTAATAGTAAATTTATCGAGATAGCCTGACACTAATACAAGTTACTTTTGGCCTCTGCAATTTCAAGAGGTGCTCAAAGTGGTGGAGATTGACTTCCAGACAGTGAACTGTCACTTGGATAACTATGGACATTAAGATGGCCACATTCGAATTTTCAGTTTCTTCTCAAAGAACCAACAATTTAGTGGGGGTTTTTGTGATATATGGCATCCTCTAGTGTATCCCATACAAGTGTAACACTATCTGTTGAAAAAACAATCATACTATTTATCTTTTCCTGAAGTATATTTGGAGACAAATCATTTTTTCAGATCTTACAAGTGATAAATCCAATTGCTCTTCTTCCTCCTCCTCTTTCTTCCTCTTCTTTCTCTTCTTTTCTCGTTCTAGGGGATTCTTTTTTTATTTTATTTTACGGAAGGGTGTACAGAGTGTTCAGGGTCTCACTACTAGATTGGACTTGTTGTGATCCACCTGTTTACAGCCTCCCAAGAGCTGGGATTATAGCTGTGTGCCACTACACCCAGTCTCAATCACTGGCTCAGTGCTCCCCAGGGCCAGGGCTGGCACAGCAAGCCAAAGATTGAACCCCCGGCCCTTGTGCTTGCTTGCAGGTGCTTTAATCCACTGAGCTATTTGGCTGGCCCTTCAATCTAATGGATTCTTGAGGTGAGTAGATAGAAATCCTTTGATTATGCAGGACAAGTTGTTTTCTGAACCTAAGATGAAATATCATCCATAGTGTTTATTACCTTTCACACAAGGGCATGCATGGTCTAAACACTTTACTAGTCTTTCTAAGTGATCTAAACTACAACTTGTCCAGATTGAAATCTAGCTTATGCATGGCTTGCATTGATACATGCTTTGAGGCATGTATCAAGCTGTGAGCTCCAGAATGAAATCTGGCCCGTGCACCAGTCTGTGGTGATAAGTGTGTTGTGAGGACTCGGGCTCTAGCTTGTAATGCATCTTTAGACCCTAGGAAGTGGGGTGAAATATCAGAAACAAGGCAACCTAGACTCCTTATAAGAATCTGGGAAGTCAGATATTAGTTTCAATGATGCTAAGTTAGGAAAGAGGAAAAAAAACTGGAAAATGATATTGAAGAGTTATAGACACTGAAGAAAATCAAAATAATTGAAAATTTGTAAGTGTTGACAGTTTAGGCATGATTATAGGATCTAGTCCAGTTTACCCAAATTGGCTTGTTTGCTTGCTTGCTTGCTTGCTTTTCTTTTTTTCTTCTTCTTTTTCAAAATGTATTTCGTTGTTTCAGGGTTTCATGACACAGCTTGGACTCATGGTGATCCTCCTGCTTTCAGCTTCCCCAGTGCTGGGATTACAAGCATGGGCCAGCCACTGTGCTTGCCCAGATTCCGGCAGGCTCAGTCCCTGGGGACAAGGCTGCTGTGGCATATGGTGCTGAGGCCCAAACTGAGGTGCCTGCACTTGCCTAAGCTTGCTTAAGCAGGCGCTTTAGTCTGCTGAGCTATCTCGCTGGCCCAAAATTGGCCTTCTAATAGTAGAAATCAATTACTTTTTGCCAAAGACTGAGTATATATGCAACAATTATATGTAATTTACAAATAGGAAAAACATGTAAAGACAATTAGCAGAATCTTGATAACACAGAAGAATGTGCCATAGTATTTTATTGAAACACAGTTTATCCTTAAAGACATCCATTTTGATTAAAAATCGTCTCAAAAATACATAATTTTTGATCATGAAATAAGACTGGTAGCACTAGATTTGGCCTGATTATTTACAAGATATAGTGAGAATGTGTATTTATTATGTAAGTCTTTGAATATGTTTTTGCTGAAAGTTTTCATAAGATATCTCATATTGGACTTTGAAAAGATTCTTGAGGGTAAGAAACTAAGCCAAGAATTCACTTTCAGTACCTATAGATACAGGAGGATCTTTCTTCTTTAATTTTTTTGAGACAGGATCTCACTAAGTTGCCCTGGCTGCGCTTGAACTTGAGATCCTTCTGTCTCATCCTCCCAGAGTGCTGAGATTACAGGTGTGAGTCACTATGTCCAGCTTCCTTAGTCATGTTTAAGATTTGGAACCCTGTAAGCGTAGTTTACCAAGAAAAACTTACTAACAATTGCTCCCTAAACTTATTCTTAGAGCTTAGATATGCTGTATCTGATTAAATGGCCATTATTTTTTAGTATGACATTTCAAGTAAGGCAATGTTTTAAACATGTTCTGTTAATAAAATAAGCAAATAATGACACTGTTATGAAAATAAGAATTGTCATTAAGAGTCTCTTAATCCTGAAGAGGTCAGGCAAGGGAAAATAATAAACAGCTCAATGCTGTCTACAAAAATGAACAATCTACTAAATTATTTTATTTCTGTTTACAGAAATAAGTGTTTTATAAATGAAATATTTACCGAACAGTTAAGATTTTTTTGCATAAATGGTCTGTTAAATGGTTGAGCTGTAAAAACTTTTAGAGATAGAAAATACTCTTATATCCAGCAAATCGCACCTGTTTATATCAACAATATTTCAAACAAAACACGTAGTTCTCCAGCATGGTCTACCTGTGCAGTTAATTCCTGTTCTGCTCCATCTTGGGATAGCAGTCTCACGGACCCTTCTGCTCTCTCTGGGCACTCGGGAAAGCCGGGCTGCAGTGCAGTTTCAAAGCCATGTGAGCCGTCCAAAGCCCAGCCTCAAGAATTTGGTCTTTGTGGCAGCCTTTTTTATTGAGAACTAAGCATACTGGCTTGGTTGATTTGTGGACACTTTCAGGCAAGTAGGGTAAGGCAAACAAAGCAAGCAAAATCTCATTACTATGACAAAAGATTTTAAATATCTGTGGTTAACTTCTTATTGCTACTTTTTAAAAGTGGAAGATTTGATGACAGTGCAAAAGGACAAAGAAATTTGTATGCTTTTGTGGAATGGAGACAAATAAGGTCAACTTAGACATTTTAGATAAACAGCTATAAAAATGATGACTAATCTTATTTTCTTTTTAAAAAAATTTTATTAATTTTAATGAGAAAGAAATAGCTCCACATGGCTGCACTGATGAAGGTTCTACAATCTGAGGTACAGGATCTCAGGACAAATCCTGAGGGCATTTCACTGACCTTCTCAGACCAAAAAGCTACAACTCTTGTTGCATAGGTCCTGCTTTACCTTGGTCTTAACCATCCAGTAGAAAAGTATGAAGTCGAAATATAAGAAATAAAGCCATGCTGTTGGGTTGAGCTGTGGGGGACTCAGGTCAATAATTTCTGACATTGCCAGTTAAATATAAGACCCAATGCTATTATGGGCTACTGGACTCTTTTAGAATATTTTGCTGAGTTTACACACCTATAATATTCAATAACGGAACTTAGAAAAAATGGGGTATACCGATGAATGTCCATTTTGTATCTGTGTATTCAAAGAGGTTGGGATAGATATATAGTTGCATTCTCTTAATGAATAGAATGATTTGTTCTAATGGTGTTTGTAAATGGGATCACAATTCCTCATCTTGTACAGCAATTAACCACTAAGAAGAATATATGCAGTGTATTATTTGTTGAAACTGTCCTTCCGATATGATTTGAAACTGTCTCATTGCTATCTGTTTGTCAATAAAACTTTGAAAAAAAAATAAAGTCAATACCCAAAAGTCAAAAAAAAAATAAAAATAAAAAAAAAAAAAGAAATAGCAATGAGACAGTTTCAAAACAGGTTAGTAGGACAGTTACAATGATTAATACATTGCATATTGTTGTTTCCTTAGTAGTTATTCACAGTATAAGGTGCAGACATGATCTCTTGTCTAAACAATATTAGTACAAATCTTTCTTCTCATTGAACTAAGAGAAAGTAGCTGTATATCTATCCTACAAAATGTTCTTTTTTTTCTACAAAAAATGTTTTCTACAAAATGTTTTTTCTACAAAAACATTTTTTTTTCTCTACAAAATGTTCTTTCATTTATATCCCCCTTTTTTGTTTTGTTTTGTCAGAGATGGGTGTTCCATTGCTGTTAGAGAAGCTGTATTTGGATAAGTCTTTAAGGACCTTTTCACACTTGATGCCAGTTCAAATATTGTAGGTACTTGAATTCAGCAAAATATTCCAATATAGTCCAATTGTCCATAACAGTTGTGGGTTATCAGCAGAACTGGCAATTGTCAGAAGTTGTTGACTTGAGCCTTTTACAGCTCAGCATGTTAA